TTTTAAAATATTATTTATCTAGTTAGATTGAGCTATAGACATTTTTACCAAGAAATAATGTACTCTAGTACATTTCTCGAATGCAACTTTCACATATAGCAAACACAAAAATCATATTTGTATGCTATAGCTATAGTTTGCATAATTGCGCTCCATAGCAAACTTTAAGTTTGCTATGGCTATTTCGCTATACATATATACAAAGAAGCAATTGTATAATCTGTTTCGGTATACATATACAAAAGAATCAATTGTATGATTTGTGTTTGTATAAAGCGATAAAGAGAGAAAGACAAAAGAAAACTGGGCAGGGGAAGATCCTATTTGTATAATCATAAGTGTACAGGACGAAAATATATGCATTTGTATTTGTATATACAATTTTCTCTCGCTTTATACAAACACAAGCGCAATGTATACATTTGTGTTTGTATAAAGTGAGAGAGGCAAGTAAGAGTGGCGAGCGAGATCTGGGAGAGTGGCGAGCGAGATTTGGGATCGGAGAGGGAAGAGAGAGGAACGAAAATATATGTATATATACAATTTTTCTCCATTTATACAAACACAAACACATTCTATACATTTGTGTTTGTATAAAAGCGAGAGAGGTGAGTGAGACTGCTCAGCGAGAACGAGAGTGGCGAGCGAGATTCACCAGGGAGAGAGGCGAAATAGCAACAGTTTGCTATGGGATACAATTAATATAAATCAAACAATGGTTATAACATTTAATTGAATTAATAGTTTGCTATTATATACAAGCTGACCTGATTTTAAATATTTTAGTTACCTATATAGAGATGTATGGATTCATTAATTATTTCTGTCACGATCCAAAGGTTAGTACAACCTAAACTAGTAAGATTCGTATTGTTTTTTCTAAATATTATATAAACAATATATATGAATTATATACATCTGTGATACATTATTATACAACACATATATATACACAATTATATATTAGGCATATAATATCGATACATAACATATACATAAATCATTTTAATTTAATTTATTTTTTTCCGGCCTTACATTATGGTAAGAAACCCAATAAAAAATAGGAGTAATAAATATTAGTACAATTGAAACATGATTAGTTTTTTTTTTTGGAAGATGCATGTGAAAGTTATTGTATGTGAGACTCAAGAAACCAGATCCACTCGTTTTGCACTACCAACATGACAACTAAAATATTCTATTGAACAAAACATGTATACACGAGATTTAATTTTAATCGTACATGCAAGTCCTTATGTTAATTAGGATTCTAATTCAAATTGTAAAAATATTTTTTCGCGTAGGAATTTTGAAAAGAAAACCAATTTATAGTCCTTCAATCGATTGTGTTTTCGTTTGGCCTTGCTCTTGATTGAGGTGTGACTAGAGTCCGTAATTTCAGCTCATATTATCAAATCAGCTCAATAGTGATTTTTCCTTCTCACTAAATTTCTTCAGTTTTATGTTGTAAATATCGAAGTTATACAACTGTCAATAAGGTAGGGATCATTAAAACACCAAATCATTACTTTTGATTAATCATAATAAGAAAATAGATTTTTTGAACGTTTCAATTATCTCGATTATATTTTCTTTTGTATCAGTTCATTTGGATTTACTTTTAGTATTATTTTTTTTCAAATGAAAAAGTCACATAAGAATCTCAACGTTACTAAATTGTCTCATTTAATTTGCTTATAAAATGATAGCGATCCTTTATATGATAAAAATATACAAATGAGCTATATTAACTTTGATGGTTAATATTGACGAATTACGATGACTTTCATACGTATAGCAACGCGAAGAATGTCACCAATTGTTTTAATACAACTTAATACGTACAATTTTCAAAACAAATTCTTCAAAATATACACAATTCTTTAATGGTAATATGCTTAAGTATAAGTATTGTTTAAATAAAATTTCATACAGTATATTATATATACTTGGTTTGAAATTTCTTCTCCAATTATTTCACCACAATTTTGGGATGATAAATATAATTATCTTAAAAACGTTATCGCCGGAAGTAGTATAAATATATAATGGAGCTAATTATAGATCCGTTATTTCTGGAAAATGCTTGAAATTTTTTATTTCCTTTTTCATATTTACAATACCTAAATACACAAACACTTAGAGCTGTCAATATGGGCTGACCCATTTCATCCGGGCTAATCCATACAAGCTTTGCAATTTAACGGGTCAAGCCGGGCTAGCCCATTTTTTGTGTGGGCCAGAAAATGATTGGCTCGGCCCACAAGTACGTGGGTTACGGGCTTTGCCGGACCAGCCCTCTTTTCTTAAAATATATTTTATATAATTTTTTAAATTAAATTATAATTTAAAAATATTATCATAAATATCGACAAGACAATATTACATGGGGTTAGTGTTATTACTTGTTAATCAAATACACAAATAACATTATCTATATAATATTTATTAAGTTTGATTTCAAGTAAAAACATAAAAAGTTAAATAGAAATATTAACTTAATTCTTTTCCAATGATCATAATAAAACACAAAAACTATGACAATATTCCATAGGTTATGACCTATGTAGTGATTTCCTAAAAAATTTAGAAATTTTTTATTTTATGTAGTACATATTTGATAAACATAATTTGTATTTAAATTATAATATTTCAGACTTTAAACATATTTTGAGTGTAGACTCTTGTTATTTTGAATACTCTATTTTATTTTTATTTTTTAATTCATTTTTATTTGCCCCACGGGCTAGCCCTATCCATATTTCTCAAGCCCAACAAATCGACATGCTTATTCAGGTCGGGCTAAAAAACCCTTTTCTTAAATGGACTTCAAAAATTGTAGCCCAATCCTATCAAATCATGGATTAGGCCAGGCAGTCCCAACGGGCTTAGTCCATATTAACGGCTCTACAAACACTATGATAAATAAAGAATTTTGCTACAATTATCTAGCCACAATTATATATGTTTTTATATTATAGTTGACGACAATAATATATATTAGTATCTATAACTAATACTCTAATAAATATAATGCCGCTAAAAGACTTTTACAGTTGTAATGACATTAACTAAATATTTTTACAATAATTATTTAGTGGCATTATGTATTTGTCTATATTATATATTTAACGATAGTAAAATAATATAATATAAGTGGCTGATACTAACCACGATGTTGATGGTTTTACTCAAGTAACTAAGTAATAATAAGGCTGGCCTCAAGGATAATAATGATCTTCATAGTTCATACTATCATAAATGAGAACATTTCTATGGGCATCAAGAATGCAACAAATTAAACCAATACTCTAATAAATGTTTGCAAAAGACTTGAGCGATAAATTACTGCTAAAATTTTTTGTGGCGATATTAGAAAATAACTTAATTACTGCTAAAAATTCCTATACCACATATACAAAGTTATAGTAGATGTTGAATTTTCTTGACTTCTTCGTATGTTTATTTTTTATATTATGAATCTCTTTAGTGAATATTCTGACTCCATCACTGGACAGAGAATTTAGGTTGGACACATGGTATTAATTAATGGAGAGACATTAAAATCATGTCAACTACTAATTGCCATGCCAAGAAGGCAAGAATTGAAAACCACAAGATCCCAAATATCATCAGTGAGCTTTGAGGCTCTGTCTTTATCAAGTCCAGAAGCATCCTTCCCACTTTCATATAGCTTGGCCATGACCAATAATGATCCTTCATTATATATATATACGTTAAGAACATAAAATGATATTCCCTCCGTTCATTTTTACTTGTCACATTTCGCTTCACGAAAATTAATTTGACTAATTTTCAAAGCTAAACTGAATTAGATTAATTCAATATTTTAAATTTTAATGTTTGAAAACTATACAAAAAATATTACTATATAAGTTACAAATTGTAATGAAAAAATGCTACACTTTAAAATATTGATTAAAGTTCTTATATTTCGACTCTCGAAAAACGAAATGATACGAGAGCGGCAGAAATTGAAGAAAGATAGCCAAGGAAAGACTATAAATTTATAAAATATGTACATGTCATCTGCAGTTATATAATAATAATTATTATCAATAAGATTGTGAGTGAGTGGTAAATACTCTTTTATCCTTAACCAGAAGTCTCAGGTTCGAATCCCCTTGAATATGGAATCACGTATGTTAGGGAGTGCTACCGATTTTCTTATTATTATTACATTCCCTTTCTCTACATGAATATTCTTAACAAAAATAGTACTCTACGTAGCATCTTGAGGACAGGGTTCACGTGACCAATTTAACCATTACAAAATTAATATTCTTTTGTTGTTAATTACTTACAAATTAACACTTTATATATTTGGTTTAATATTGTTTGATTAATGCGTTATTAGTTCATAAATCAATGTAGTAATTAACACAACTTAATCTTAACTTATTCCTGCATGTCATTCTCTGCCTCTCTAGGAGCCATTAATAGGCTATAGGGTTATCTAGAATTGCATTATGCCAGCTTGTCCTCATATCTCTCTATATCTAATGCAAATAGCCCACAATATGGACATGTCCCTCTCTAAATTTTCTTGATCACTAATAATTAGTCACTCCCGATGTTCTAATTTATGTGACATTACTTAATTAGGCACAAAATTTAAAAAAGACAGAATGATTTTTGAAACTTGTAAATTTAAATAAGTTGTAAATATATTTGTGTAATTATAAAGTTGAATTGTTTCAAAATATAGAAATATGACATTTTAAAAACAATATAAACTAAAAACAAAAATGTGCTACATTTTAAAATTTTTTATTGAGAGTAGGGGAAGAGATTGCAATGTGGGAAATCAAACTCTCGCCAATAAGATGAGAGTTCAGGTAATTAACCAACTAAGCTATTAAGATTCCAAAAAAGTGCTACATCAATTTGGACATGGAGCATAAAATAGCAAAACACAAAAAAACTCACATTTTCCATCTATAAATTCTCACTCACTTGTTCATTTCCAACACCAAGTACCCTCTAATTAGCTCTAGCAAAAAACACATATAATTAGCACTTCCCAAATTTTCACTTGTAAAAATGGCTAAGGCTATTGCATCATCATCCATTGCTCTTCTCTTCATCACTTTGAACCTTCTCTTCTTCACAATGGTTACTTCAACTTACATCTCATGTCCACCAAAGACTCAACACAAGAATCCCCCATCAACATACCATAAGTGCCCAAAGGACACACTAAAATTTAAGGTGTGTGCCAATTTATTGAATGACTTGGTGCATGTTGTTATTGGAAGCCCATTATTGTCATCAAAGAGTTCATGTTGCTCTCTTATTGAGAATCTTGCTGATGTTGATGCTGCTGTTTGTCTTTGCACTGCCATTAAAGCTAATGTCTTGGGAGCTCACCTTAATGCTGCTCTTTCACTCAGCTTGTTGCTCAACAACTGTGGAAAGACTGCCCCTAAAGGTTTCAAATGCGCGTAAATTATCAAACCATTTCTGTGTTTCTTCTTTTTTTCATTTGGATTTAAGTTATATATACTGACAGTGTAAATAATTTTTGCACTATCAGTATTATTTATGAGTGTATATGCATGGTTTGCTTATTTTTTAGTAAATGTGTGTGGAGTTATTTTATTTGGTTTGGATTAAGGAAGGCTCCTCCTATCCTTCTTTTCGGTCTGTTGTATCCCCTTTTTATCAGTTATGAAAATGATATCTTCTGATGAGATTAATAAAAATGGACATTTATGAATTCAGGAGCGGATCGAGAGAGTCAAATGAATTTAGACGTTTTTGTCTATATTCTGTATATATATATATATATATATATAGAATATAGATAAAAAAAAACAAAATCTTGTGAATGGAATTGAGGCTCCTGTCCTCTGGTTTTTTTCAGTACTAGATAATATGTTTTTTTTTTAGAATAATTTATATCGTTTGAATATTAACCAGAGATAAACTAGTAGTCCCTCAACTATTGACCGCCTTAAAAAGAGGAAAAATAAAAGCAGCCCATTCCTCAACCAAAAGCAGACTACATTAGGAAAAATAAATTTCATTTTATTAATATTTTTGGTTAAGGAAGAATGCGTGCAGCCCACTGAATAGGATAAAGTGGTTCTATAACAATTGATACATTGAATTTTCTCCAAAAGGTTCAGTTTTTTTTTTTGGTAATTAAATGATTTTATTTACCAAGTGAACATTACTGTAACATCTCGCAATTTGAAATAACTAGGAAGAAGCTTATAATTGGAAATAGTCATTTTTGGAAATAATTAAAATCTGGAAATTTGTTCAAGTTAGGAAAAGTTGAGTTTTGGTCAACTTCAAATGGCAATAATTCCTAGCTCAGGATGAGTTAGGTGTACTTTCAGATATGGTTGCAAAGCTCTTGGAAGGATCTTTCCAACGCCGCTGAGTTTGCACAAATCCGAGTTTGTATGAGTGAGTGATGCCCTTTGAAAGTTGGGCTGTTGGAATAAGGAAAGGCCAATCCGGATTTTTAAAAGGTAGTTTGGTCTTTTCCTTAAGGGGTCTAAGCTGAATTAGATCAGTTTACACTTTTACCAAAAGAGTTAGGGTTTGGAGAGAAAAGAAAAGAAGAGGAGAAAGGAGAAAAGGAAGCAAGAACGTTCAGGATTCGTCGATTTCTTGGAGCTTTGCTTGTGGATTTCGTCGGGGGGATCCTTACAAGGTATGTGAGATCACATAGCGTTGGGTTAGTTCACCCACGCGCCAAGCATGTTTAATTCAACGTAGATTCATCCTACAAAGATTGGGAATTTGATGTTCTTGATAGTTGTTCTTGAATTGATTTCGTTCTTGAACATGAGTTGGGATTAAGGAGTTTCTTGATGATTAACTGTTGTTTCTTTAAGTTGTTGGGTTAGATTTTGTGTATATGATTTGGGTACATGAATCTAAAGTGAATTTGAGAAAAAGAATCGAATTAAAATGATAGGATCAGAAAACGAGATCAATAGCTCGTTAGAATTTTGCCTGAAGGGAGGCTGGCGCGACGCGCCCCCATAGCGCCAAGCAGGCTGGGCCGGCACGCCAGCAGTGCGCCAGATTTGAGCCCCAGTAAGTTGGGGCTGGCACGACGCTCCCGGGATGCGCCCAAATCGTTGTTTTTCACCAGTTTTCGTCGTTTAGCCTATTTAAGTCCTTCTAAAGTGTATTAACACTTCATATTGATTCTAACTACTCTAAATGACTTCTAAACATCTAGAAATCATCCAAAAACATGAATCATAACCTTGAATCCATAAATTCAAATTCAAGGAAAGTTAAGAGCTAAGTTTAGGAAGTTCTTCGAGTCTTTTCAAGAAGTCTTTTGCAAATGCTTTTAACTTTGTTTTAAGACTTACAGTTCAAGTTGAGTAAAGAGTAAACAGTAAAGATTGAGTTCATTTCTTCAAAAGTATATGGGGACTAAGTATTCCTAAAGAGATTTAAAATGTTTTCACATTAAAATAAGAACGGAAACTGAGATTTTCAAAGAGCCTTCGGGCTAGTTTTCAGAAAAGAGAAATAACTTTCTAAATGAAGCAAGCAGGGAAACTGAGATTTTCGAGATAGCCTTTGAGCTAAGTTTTTGAGCACTAATCTCAAATCATAGAAGAAGTATATTTTTAAACATAAAGAACTAAGTATTTTTGGGAGTAGTATTGAGCACCGATATGGGGATGTGAGTTCATATTAACTCAAGTCTCCATAAACCATGTAGCCATTATGGGTAGAAAAGGATCATACTTTTTAGATGAATCATTTCCGCATAGACTAGTGGATCCACTTAGTGAGTTAGCTTCCTATATCACGGTAAGGTATATGATGGGCCTCGGCAGCGTGAGGTAAAGCGTTGTATCATCACTATAGTTCTTAAGTGATGGTTGTCGGTTAGAGAAACTCCCACAACAGTAATAACATGGTTCCTCAAGGGGTTCTGCTTAGTGTGAATGGGGGTATGAGACTTCATTCATGCATTGCACAAGTAGACTTTGAGAGGGAGCATGGTTTGTCTTTTTATGATATTATGATTATGAATTGACAACATGTTTACAATAGTTTTTCTTTATATTGCACTTGTTTTAAACTGCTTTATAATAAAATGAGTTTATTTAAGT